TCTATATTAGTAGTCATGATGATGAACGGATAAGAGAGATGAGAGATGATAGAATATGAAGAGACAAAAAGAGAATGGGGGTACTACTAGGGTTAAAAGTGGCTCTAATACCATAAAATTTGGTATTTTTCTCATGAAAATCTCATTAATTAAACACAAATAAAATACAAAATGACTGAATACAAAATAGGCTCAATACATTAAAACTAATACAAATGGGCTATACAAAATATAATACAACAAAGGATAAGATCCGCTAACATTGTTAACCATTAAGTATGAAATTACTGATATTAAAAACTCAAACCAAACATTAAAATAACCATTAAATATTGATCCAAAACGTAAGATTAACCGATTAACATGTATTCATTGAAATAAGATATTGACATTCACATCTTATTCAATCGTAGTAGACTCAAGATCCATATATTAAAACACTAAACACCAAAAATCAATGAGATACTATTCACAAAAATGGAAATAATATATCTTAAGTTAAAAGTAACAACATCGAGTTAAATAAACTATAATAATAACACCAATATTTAAAAAACAAACTACTAGCAGAAAAATTAGAAAAATATCATCTTATTTAAGTATCATAAACGAAAACTCTTACAAAGTAACAATTTGAACAACAACATTTACTCCCACCAGCTTAATCTAGGTTTTTAACGACTCCAGTCATCGGTTCAACCAGGTTTTTGAAAAACATGGTCGGTTTTATCCCTAATATGCAAAAAAAAAAATCCTAATTTGGTACAATATTATTTTTTCTTTACACTATCAGGGGGTGATTCCAACATTATATATATATATATATATATATATATATATATATATATATATATATATATATATATATATATATATATATATATATATATATATAAAATGAGAACCCAAAAAAATTAAAAACCCTAAGAATCATTTTCAATTTTTTTTCATTAAAGACAGTTTTGGAAAAATCCAACATTTACATTGTATTATGCACAAACTATTATATTTCATACTTTACATACTACTTGCCATTTGTCATAGGACTACTACCATCGACGAACTAATTTTAATTCAATAGCATTTTCCTAGTCGTATTCACAGTTTAATAGAACCGACATTGTAGCTCCTTTTTCTTTGGCAATACTTTTTACTTTTCTAGCCAAAATATACAAAATTTTAGTACAAAAGAAAAATAGAATGATGTCTTGAAAAAATCAATTTTCTTGTTTCTAAATGTAGATTTCTTTAAAAATATATTGTGTATAAAAATTATTCATAGTTTAAAATACATTATTCACAGTTTAATAAACGTAATAATTTATTAATACACAATTTAATATTTTCATGCATACATTCATTTATATTTTAACACAAGTTTTATATAAAATATGCAATTTAATATTGTCCATTTTTAATTTAATACATAAAAATCACAATATACAATCAATTATACAGTATTCACATATTTAAAAAAATCAAATCAAAACTCTACCAATTACTATTACACACCGCCACCATCAACCGCTTATGCCACCTTCGCAACCACTTAATTCATTTATTCACAGTTTAATGCAAAACAGATATAAAAACTAATACATTCTTGTAAAGTTATACAACACCAAAAATAAATATATTCACAAGAAAATTAAAATTTATGTTTTTCATCGTAACTATCATATATGTGTAAAAATCATGCAATAAAAGCTTAAAACTTATAAAAAAAATCATGCGTTCACAATTTAAAACTTATGCATTCCGTTGAAACAATCTGATATGTATAAAAATCAAGTATTAACAGCTTAAAACTTATAAAAAACCATGTATTCACAGTTTAAAACTTATAAAAAAAAATCATGTATTTACAATTTGAAACATATATTTGCTTATTGATAACAATTAAAACTGACATTAATATAACTAAACAATAGATTAAACGTTAATCATAATTTTAAAACACTAAGTTAACATTATTTGAGAAAACCTTAACACTAAAAACTATAAAATTTCAAAAAAATCATATATTCACAATATTCACAGTTTAAAATTTATGTTTTTCATTAAAGTAATCAGGTATATTTAAAAATATAATGCATTCACAACTTAAAATTTATAAAACCATGCATTCAAAGCATAAAACTTATGTCTTACATTGAAATAATCAGATCTATATAAAAATCATGCATTTTAAGCTTAAAACTTGTAAAAATGTTCACACATTTATAGTTTAAAACTTATAAAAATATGTAATCACAACTTAAAACTTATAAAAATTAATGAATACACAACTTAAAACTTATATTTTATTATTATTAACATTTAAAACTAACAATAACATAACTATAAAATAATTGAAACATTAAAACATCCCAATCACAACTTAAATAAACCTAATTTTTTCCTTGTGGAAATACTAACATAATAACAACATCTAAATTCAATTCACAACAAAATAATCGTAAAAATAAACTATGAAAAACATGTTGTATGCAAATATTATAATAAATAAGAAACCAAACTTGGATTCATAACTTAATATCAATTAAAAAATGATTAACAAATGTAAACAACAAATGAGAGATTAAAATATTAAATTCACAGTTTAATAGAAGGAAAAACAATAAAAAAATCGATATACCTAATGTGTTTTACCTATATACATATATGTAAAATACTAAAATAATAACAACATATAAATTCAATTCACAATAAAATAACCATAAAATAATATTTTCTACGGTAAAGTACATAAAAATATAGGAAGTAAAAAATATATATACAAAAAAAAACACCATTTAGTTTACACATTCCACAACTTAATACACTTATTCACAGTTTACTTTACATTATATTCACAGTCTCATTCACATTATATTTTCATGCACTCTTTCATACCTTAATATACAATATTCATTATTTGGACTTTAAAAGAAAACTTCATTGTAGCATCTAATCAAAACACCTTATGTGTATCTTTTTTCATATAACTTCATTTTTAAACTATACCACCAGATAACAAAACAGAGAGTAATATATCAAGGAGAGCAGGAGTACATATATGATGAACAAAAAAATGAGTTTTGAAACAAATTAGATAAAGAAAAAAACAAGTTTTGGAGGGAAAATGAGTTCAAGAGTAACACCTTTATGTTGCGATGATGAAGGCTGAGATTTATGCCTTGTGATGCTCCGATGGCAACATAAATGGCAGGAGAACAATTCTGATGTCGATCGGAAACCGGTTTAGGTGGTTGCCAGTCAGAAATCATAAATCTGGATCGAACTCACAGATCTGGACGCCGGTGGTTGCGAAAATCATAGATTTGAACTTGATCTTGCATATCTAGAAGACAAACAGACAGATCTAGAGCTTATGACTCCACATCTGAGATCAGTGGAGTCCGAAGGTAGATCTGAAGCGAAAACATTAGCAACTCGACATTCCGACGACGGAAGGCGGTAGAATACGGTTGCGATAGGTGGCATATATCATAGATCTGGACTGGAACTCGCGGATCTGGACGTCGATGGTGGCGGAAATCAAAAATAGGAACTTGAACTTACACATTTTGATGACATATATGGTGGTTGATGAAGAACAACATTGATCTTGTGGCCACAACTCCATGAGTGGAGTTTTTTACTCCAAATTTGAGATCAGTGGAGTTTAAAGGTGGATTTGAAGAGAAAAACATTGCCTACTCATCATTCCGACGACGGAAAGCATCAGATGACAAAGACGGTAAGCGGCGACGGTAGGCGGCAGGTGGCGGAGTTGGTGTTGGGTTTTGTGTTCTTAAGAGAGTTTGAGAGGTTTTAGAAAAGTATTTTGGAAGAAATGTTTGCCATAGTGAGAAATATTGTTGGATAGTAAACTAATATTAAATGGTTCTTAGGGTTCTTATTTCTTAATTTTTATTGTTCCCATTTGAACTTTTACCTCTCTCTCTCTCTCTCTCTCTCTATATATATATATATATATATATATATATATATATATATATATATATATATATATATATATATATATATATATATTATTGGTTAGATTTACCAAATTAGTCAATTCGCTTCAAGAACTCATGTCTAAAAGGCTTCCACCTCTATTAAATGGGTTAGTTCCACATTGAACATGTGACATCTGCCGCACTTCTAACGACTAATATTATAAAAGCCCTGAATTTTTAACGCATAATTGGGAAAAACCCTAATGTTTTTTTATTGCTATTGTCACAACTTTCTCGCAAAATTATTGTTCTAACCCACTTAACGTGTTTCGTGGTTAACTTGGTTATTTTTTTTATTTTTTTTTGAAAAATTAGTCCTAAAAAGTTCACATTTGGTCCTTGAGGTTTGCAAAAATTTATACCACATGTTTTTTTAACATTATTTTTTCGTTTTTTGTATATTTTATTTATTTTCGGGTTTATATATATATATATATATATATATATATATATATATATATATATATATATGTATGTATACACACACACATTTTTTATTTTCTTTTTAATATATAGTTTATTTATTTTCATTTTTCTTAACTTTATTTTTCAACAATTTGAACTTTTTTTTTTACCATTTTACCTTTTGTTATATATATATATATATATATATATATATATATATATATATATATATATATATATATATATATATATATAGAGAGAGAGAGAGAGAGAGAGAGAGAGAGTGAAAGTTAGGTTCAAATGTTTTTAGCAACTATTGTGTGCCTAAATGCACCAATGAGAATTCAAGAAATAATAAAGAATTAAATAAATCATTAAAGGGTATTTTGGACTTTTGGTACTTTTAATTAAGGAAATCATTTAATTGAAATCATTCAATTAAGGAAATAAAGTTAATATATTTGACCTAGTTATGTTTGGGGCTGAACACATTCATCATCGGCATCATCACAATCACCATCGCCGATTCTGCTGCTTCTTCTTCTTCTACAATTGACGTATCCTCTCGTCTCACACCCTCCTTCTTCCATGTACCTATCTGCACCACCGCATGGATGGACCTTCAACAAGATTCGGGCTTTATTCAATCTTATTTCACAGTCGTTATCTTTATCTCTCTCGTTCCAAATCCATGGACCGATCCTAGAATACAGTGATTTATACTCACCAGTCATAGGTATGTAATTATATTCCTCAAATATTTCTTTTTGTGGATTCAATTCAACAGTGATTTAATTGACGTTTTTATTATATGATGTTAGTGTTCTTTGATGTTTTTGGAATGGCTTGCATATGAATATTTATTAATCGATCAATAAATTTTTTTTCTTATGTTCATGTTCGGAAAAGTTTGCAAACGATCTTACAGTTGTTGTTTATGTAGTTTTGAATACTGAAGCCTTATTTGGGGAATCGTTATCTGGGGGGCTAGAATTTTGTTTGAGTTCTTGTCATCAAGTCGAATATAGCTCAGGTATGGCTGAAGAAGTTCCCGACCACCAAGAAACTGAATTGGTAAGACTCTCACTAATTTTTTTTGAAGAAACTGAAGGAGCACACCACGTGTTCGATAAAATGCATAGTTGAAATCTAGGTTTTTTAAGCATCTTGATGTCGATCATTCTACTAGAATGGAATATCGAATTCTAATTTTTTCAGAATAGAATCTTGAATTCCTTGTCAACTTAAGCAGTGAATTACCGTAACCAATTCCGTTAGAATAAAATTGGTGTATATTCTTGTTATTGGTCTCGATTCTTATGGAATAACATTCTAAATAATTAAACATTACATTCTTTCAGAATAATATACATTGTAAGTTTAGGGATGATTGTTAATTTTGGTTTGTAGAAATTATAGTTATATTTTATTTGAATATATATCACATTCTTGATCAATTGATTTGAGGATTACATTCTATTAGAATAAATTATAATTATTTAATGTCTACTACATTTTATCATAATTTATTGTTTTTATTCTCTTAGAATGCACTGGATTTTTTAATATTTGAAAGTTAATTATTATTTTCTTTGTGGATTTAGGTCTTGAAGAAGCTGCCATTGATGTGGAAAAGGAAAAAAAAACATAGAGAATGAGAGTATATTCTAACAGAATCTATTGTGCAAGAATATGTATGAATTAGTTTTTGTTGCATTTGTGATAAGAATGTTCGGAAGAATGGCTTGAAGACCTGATAAGAATGACTTGAAGAATTAGCCAAAGATTGATGACACTCACAGTTTAAGCATGTTTTTATTTTTTAAGAACTACACTTGTATTTTACTCATTACCTGTATATTCAAGAATGCTGATTTTTTATGATATTATTCTAGAATATCTATAAATATATTAATATGTATAAGGTTATTAGTATGTAAAAATATGTATGAATATTTAAGTTCGAATGTATATGAAAATATTAAAATGTTGTTATTCTTCAACTAGGAGTTCAAGAATTCTGCTACTCTTCATTAATATTCTAATAGAATAAAACTCTTAAAGAACATCATTCAAATAAAAATTCATTCTGACGGAATAAAATCGGTTATGTTTAGAAATTATGTTTAGAATTAATTTAAAATATTCAGATTTTTAAAATGAGGAGTGTTAATGATCCCTTAAAATCAGAAAATTTTCTTTTCTAAAACAGGTTAATTGACCAAAATACCCTTTTGTTGAAATTTGTGTGATTATATGGTATATGCTATCCTATTGTAATATTATAGACCCTCAGATTATAATCACTGATTCTATTCATCCGGTGGTCCAGATCTATGCATTCTGGCACACAATAGTTAATAAAAACAAAATAGCCTAAGCATATATATATATATATATATATATATATATATATATATATATATATATATATATATATATTCAATTTTAGTTATTTATGCTTTTTCTAATGTTTTTATTTATTTAGATTCAAAAACTAGAATTCAATTTAAATTACTATAAGTTTTTTTTTATAGAGATAGACTATTATTATATTTTTTGTTCTTTCTTTTAGTTATTATCAAATTGAAAAATATTAACTTCAATTTAAACTATTGATATCACATATGTAACACATTGCAACACTAATTCTCAATAAACAATCTATGTTTTTTTTTTAATTTTCATTTTTCCGTAACATAAATAGAATAACACTAAAAAAAGAATAAAAAGAAAATAAGTTTGACTAAAATTACAAACATAAACATAACTATTTTATTTACTTGAATAAAAATAAAAAAAAAATTACAGAAACTATAAATTATCAAAATTGTAATATACTCTAATATATTAATACATTTTAAATTTTTTGAAAAAAAGTCAATAAAAAGTTAAAAATACAAAAAAATAAAAACAAATAATGGAAATACAAATAAAATAAAAAATAAAAAGATAAAAAGCTTAAAAATATTGTATGAAAAGAAAAATGAAAAAAAAAACTATAAAAAAGAAAAAAAAAAACTCTAATATACTCTATATATACACTAAAAATAGAAAAAAAAAGGTAAAAAAAAAATCAAATTGTTTAAAAATAAAGTTAAAAAATGAAAATAAATAAAATATATATAAAAAAGAAAATAAAAATAGTATATATATTTATAAAAAAATCCAAAAATATACAAAAAGACGAAAAATTATGTTAAAAAACCATGTGATGTAATTTTTTGTAAACATCAGAGATCAAATTTGAACTTTTAAGGAGTGATTTTGCAAAAAATTAACCAAGTTAACTATCAAACTCATTAAGTGAGATATAAGAATAATTCTACGCAAAAGTTGTACCATAACAATAATAAAATTATGATTTTTTTTAATTATACGTTAAAAATTTAGAGCTTTTATAATATTAATCACAATTTTTATTTACCTTGTATCTGCCTATGGCAACTTGGTAACTAACTATTTTAAAACATTATTAGTCGTTCAGTAATATCTCTACAGTTTTCAAAAATATTTGATATTTGCTTTGCCGTTTGAAAGAAAATTAAAAAAAGAAAGACTTTTTTAAATTGGATTTTCATATCAACTAAAATCAATGTACGCATGTCTCCAACATTTCCCTTGACCATAACTTAGTTCAACGCCTAGAATTTCTCAAGAGTGATTTGGTTGACCTTTCTAAATGTGAAAGCGGATTTTTAAGAGGGTTTTGTCTTTTTCCTTTGAAAGTCAATGTAGGTGGTTTCACATTGCAACATAGCCAACCTCTCAATGTAACTTGTGTGCCAATCCCATTGTCTTCGAATACATTATCTTATCTCATGTGAAGGTTGCGTTTTGTACGAATTGTGTAGTTAAATGGAATTAACAAGTTAGTATAATAGTCTTTTTAACGAAATAATTTACTGTAAAATAATGTTGAATGTTTTTTCATTTTATCAATCATTTTGAAAAAAATGAACTCTAATAGACAATTTTTTGGGTTAAATTCTAAAAACTAAACACACGAATTCGAATTTTCAGTAATATATATATATATATATATATATATATATATATATATATATAGGTAGATGTTCATTTGAGACCACTTATATTTGTGAGACATGAGGACCAAATCTAAGCCTTTGATCAAAACTGATATTCTGGCTCATAAGAAAATGTGATTAACACTAATTAATCTAAAAGATTAGTTAATTAGGGGTAGATTAGTCACTAGGTTAAATTTTAGATCATCATATTTGTTATCTTCACGTTATCACAAAACCCAACTGCTTCGATTCTTTCTACCAATTCATACTAATCGGTCAACATTCCTTAATCTCCGATTCATGCTAATCAATCTTATATTTGCTTCGATTTGAGTGATTGAGGTTTATGTTGATCTATCGACATCAACAATTCATTACAAGATTGTTATTGATTTTAGCTCTGTGATAATCGATTTCATCCTAGGTAGAAGTTCAAGTGTTCAGTCGATTTCTACTAATCTTCATCTTCAATAATTGCTAACGATCTTTCAAGTTGTGCTTTTTACTCTACATCATGATTTCATCAATTGATCAAGGTTTGATTTTGCTTCCCCTGAGTTTTTGATCAACGACTTTTAGCCATTCATCAACTGATATCGATATCCATCGTATTCATGCTTCAATTTTACTCTCAAATAAGGTGTTTTATCAATTTAAATTCATCTTAAATCTATTATCAATTCAAGTATTTGATTTCAGCCATCGATTATCAATATCAAGCTTTTGGTTTTTTTCTGTGCATTTGAGCACATATTAAATGAAGATAAGCAAGCAAAAACAATGTATCTTCGTGTTATTTTGTGTTCATTGTATAAAATCAATGAGGTATGTACATAACTATTATTGTTCTTGAGCCAATTCTCTTACATTTTACATGCACTCTACCTGTTTGATGAAAGTCCTGAATGAATAAAGAGTCTGGTGTAGAGTATGATATATCACTCCTTCCTTCCCACCCTTAAACTTTGTTACTATTTAATGATATTAACCCCAAATTCCAAGCTGATTATTCTTAACTTAGTGATGACTGGTGTACTTCTTCTTTTTGTTAGTGACTGAAGGACATACAACTATCATCGATGCAAATGTTCAGTGCATATGTTGGAAGAAGCATATCATCCATATCTTGCCACCATTAATTAACGATGAGAACTCTAAGAAGCATATTGACATGTTGGTTTCAATGGTGCTTGGTCCATAAAGAGTTAAAGTGGCTAAGAAGTTGACGGATGATGAGGACTTGGTTCATCTTTAGAATCGAAATCTGTAAAGAGGATGTTTGTTTTAATTTACTCTCTGCACTCTCTTTATTTCTTTCTTGATGAAATTGTTCCTTACATTTGTGCAACTTTAAACATTATTATTACAGCAGATATATATCCTAATACCCATCAAACCCCTTTCAAAGTGTAAAGTGGTACATACAGTTATGAAATTAGTTAAAACATTCATGTTTTTTTATCATTACAACTTTTTAGGTAAGTCTTGAATGGAACTGTAGAGAATGTGGCTCGATAATAGTTTTCTGAAGTGTCTCATTCAATGTAGTGGGATGTTATAAATTTGCTTATATTTTGTTTGTTTGGTTTCAAGTGATGTATTTGAGGTAATTGAATAAAACGATAACACTATATTCTAAGTTTTTACTTTTACATTGGTATTTACAAATAAGCTGTGCATTATTTTAATTTTCTTACATATATATTGTTATATTCTAGTTCGATATTTGATGTTCATGTAATCATTTAGTGTTACATTCTATTTAGAATGTTATACATATACAAACATCCTATAATATTATTCTATAAGAATATTAAATTGTAACTCGAATGTAGACAACCTAATTAAATTATTCTGTTAGAATGATATTTATATTTAGAATATTAAATATAACATTAGAATATTATGTAATATAAGTTCATTTTATATGTTATAACACAATTTAAAATATTACACTTTAATATTAGAATATTTCATACAGTTTCATAATATTGCGTATCAAATAACAACATATTATTAAGTACTCCTTGTGATATATTTTTTATAATACAAACTTGAAATTTGGTTTTTAGTCTATGAGGTTTTAGAATAGGTTTTAACTTCCAGAGAAAAGTTTGATATTTATCCTAAAAGTATTCACTTCATTTTATAAGATTATATGTTTCTCACTCGTTTAAAAAGTTTATTAGTCTAGGTTCCTACATATTATTTTGTATCCTACACACTTGAAGGGAATGATGGTCTGAATTAGAATATTTCATCTTATAATAGAATATTACATCATATTACAATCTTTCAGATTATTACACATTAATATTATAAACTTTTCTTTTCTATAAATCATTTTTTTTCTAGACTATTCTATATATTCTTATAACGCTATAAATTGTAAATTTAGATTATTACATAATATTACATATAATATTAGAATCTTATATAATGTAAGTTAATTAAGAAACATTCTACATATAACTTATAAGAGTATAAAAAGCCTAATTTTAACTAAAAAATATTTTATTAGAATACTCTACATATAACTTAAAATATCCAAGAACCTTATTCTATTATAATATTCTACATATAACTTTTGAATAGAGATCATATACAATATTATTATATTAGAATAT